GGGGGAGGAAGGGGAAAAAGCCTCTCTGGTAGTTCCCATACTATTCCAAGGTAGGTACCCCTCCTCATGCCTCATGAGACCCCCAAGGCAAACCATGATGTTAAAAAAACAAACTTTATGGGCAAGATGCATTAAATAAAAATATGTGTTGGAATTAGGAATGAAGTAAATGATAAGATATCCACTAAAAATTACATTGGAAAACGTGTGGGACCCTAAAGTAGTCATATGCACCCTTTTTCACAATCTCATGGTAAATAGGTGTGCTAGTGTATTTTTAACACAGAAATAAACTCTACAAAATGAATTTGCACAAATATAAAGAACTGGGTAATGATTTTTAAAATTTGTAAAAAAACCCATTCCTTTTCAGATTTAATTACCTTTTGTGTCCAAGAAAAAAAAAAAAAGAACTCTCCAGAAATCGACTATGACTGGTGTTTTTATTTTAAATAAGGTTTTCACAGTGAATTTGCTCGTAATCAGATAGATTATTGCATATGGATTGTGGATGAGGCCCAGTGCCGCGGGGGAGACCCCCATGTGTGGAGGGCGTGGGAACTGCCCTCACAGGGCTTGCTTTCTCATTTTCTCCATTTTTACACAAAAGGTGAACTTGGTCCTGGTTACAGGCTTGTGTCGAGGAGCTGCCTCTGACCCGGTGTTTCTAGAAGGGCTCGTTTACATGGTTTCTGATTCCCACCAACGGGGGCCGGGGAGGAACTGTCACCCTCCCCCGTGACTGAAGCACAGCAAGTTTTGGGAACCCAAGGGTGGTAGTGAGAGCCGGCTGTGACACTGCATCCTGACACCTGCTGGCTCAGGACCTCCATTCTCGGGGTACACATGACTGCTTGGGGGCTGGACTCAGAGTTTGGAGGGAGTCTTTGATTCATAGCCCAGTGCTCACATGAACAAGAGGTTCAAAGGGGACAGCATGGTGCATGGGACCAGGCTAGCTTTGCGGCCAGGCTTGCTCCGTGCTGTCATGAGCAGTGTGGCCGGGGAGATGCTCCTCAGGGACGTGTGCCCCTTATCCAGGCGCTGCCCCCCTCCTGTGCCTGCCAGAGAGGCAAGAAGAGGGTGCTTCCCCCGCCTTGGGACCAGGCTCCAGGATGAGCTCAGCTTCTGTAGGCTGCAGGGCTCTGGAGCCCCTCCGTTACCCCGGCCCTGCACATTGTCCTACGTTCCGCAGTCACCCGGGCCACGTGCAGGGGACACATCCGCTCAGAATCGGAAGCAAAGGAAGGATCACGTTGAGATGTGAGATCAGTGTTGGGCTCTGAGCGAAATAAGCCTCGGATACCGAGGCTCTGAGCACTGAACCCCCGTGGCCAAGGCCCCCCCGAGTGAGACGACCCACTCCCACCTCCTTGGGCTGGCCCCCCTTTATCCAGGTTTAGCTTTTTCCACTTCCTTATCTTTTCTCTCTAAAAAGGCCCATTTCTTGACTCAGCTGTGGAAACCCTTGATCTTGGCTTCAGATTTCCGTGAAGTTAACTCTTACCCTGCAAGCCCAGCTCTCCTGGGTTCACACCGTCTGTCCATAGGTTGGATGTTGCCTCCTCTCCGTTTCCACGCGATTTCGCACTCATGGGCAAGTCCTACTGGCTCGCGCTCATTTTCTAGACGTGGCCCAACTCTTCCCGGTCAGGATCCTTGGGAGCTGCTGGAATCTGCGTGGGCACCAGCTCTCCCTGCTCTGGCATCCCTGCCTCTCCCTATTCCTCGTGTTTCATTGGGGGCGATTAGGCCTCACATTCAGTCCCTCAACTTTGTGGAAGGTTCTGTGCTCGCCGCCGGGAAAGGACAGACGCACAGTCTCCCTCCCCCGGCGGGGCTCAGCTTCCCAAGTCTCCCCTCCTCGGACTACCTCTCCCCTTTTTCTCCCCATTGGGCTGCCCCCCGCAGGCCTACAAGACCTGCACTTGCCCAGCTTCAAGACCCAAGAAAGTGCCCAGGGTCAGCAACACAGACATCATTGGTCTAACGGATGGGGGAGCTTACACGTCTGGAACAAGGTCCTGGAGCCACACCCCACCGTGGTGGGCAGGACCTGGCCGCAGACTTTGCTCCTAGGGGCAGGGGGGGTGTTGGCAGTTACAGGGGGAATTGGCCTCAGGTTGGCTCATCGGTTACCAGGGAAACCAGCAGAGGACCAGGCCCCTCACCGCCCCCTTGATAAGAACAGTCACTAGCTGAGCCCGGGGCAAGCACGTAGGAAGGTCAGTCATGTGAGTGGGGTGTCGGTGCAGCAGGCCCTGGTCAAGCAGAGGAGGGACAGAGAGCAAGAGGACAGCCACCTCGAGTGGTCTGGCCACACTCCCCGATCCTCACCTCTGTACCAGGGGTGGAGGTAACCTGCCTGCCACGCCATCACTTCCACGGCCCAAGCCTCCCTCATTTTGTTGATTTCTCCCTTTATCCCCACTTCCCTCTCTGACTTCTCTCCCAGCGCTCGGAGGCATCCAATGACACCTTTCTGCTTGAACACCTAAGTGCAGACCAGGCTGTCCTGTTTTACCAGCCTGCATTCCAGTGCTCTTACAGACCTGGTTCTTTGTGTCACTCAGCGCCATGCCCAAGGCCCCGTCGTGCTGTGGGTGTTTCTCCTCCGAAGCTGCTCGCAGCTGCATCACGCCGGGGCACGAGTCCTCGCCTTTTCCTCCTCTTTCCCTTGTGGGGACTTGGAGACGGCTCCGCATTGCCTCTAGCTTATCACCACACAGATGCTGTGCGGGGAGCACCCTCGCAGGTCTCTTTGTGGACCTGGCTGAAATTTTCTTCGGGATTTACATATGCAGGAGTGGAGCCATAGCGTGCGTGTCAGCTTCAGGTGACTCAGTCGAGCCCGACGCCTTTCCAGAATGGGCCTGCCTGCCAGGCTCCTGTCTCACACCATCCTCACCAACACTCGCGTGTCCCAGCTTTCTGAGTTTGCCAGTCGGACAGGCATAACGTGGCAGCTCACTGCTGTGACGAGCATTTCTCAGGTTTCCAGTGAGTTTTGGAACACCAAGCCGGGTTGTGACTACTACAGTCACCCCCCACATCCATGGTGGATTGATTCCAGGACCCCCGTTGATACCAAAATGCACGGATGCTCAAGTGCCTTATATAAAGCGGTGCAATATTTGCACATAACCTACCCACATCCTCCCGTATACTTTATTTTTTTCTCTTCTTTTTTTCTTCCAATTTTATTGAGATATAATTGACATACAATGCTGTATAAGTTTAAGGCATACAGCATAATGATTTGACTTACAAACATCAGGAAATGATTATCACAAGTTTAGTGAATATCTGTCATCTCATATCGATAGAAAATTAAAGAAATAGAAAAAAAAATTTGTGATAAGAATTCTGAGGATTTACCCTCTTAACAAACCCTCCTACACACTTTAAGTCATCTCTAGATTACATACAATACCTAAGACAATGTAAATGCTATATAAAGCGTTGTCTACAGGATGCAAATTCAAATTCTGCTTTTTGGATCTTTCTGGAATTTTTTTGGAATCTTTTCAGTCTCTGGTTTGTTGAATCCAAGATGCGAACCCTCGGAAAGGAGGGAAGGGCCGACCATGTTTCTTTCTGACAGGCAGGAGGACGGACAAGGGACAGCTGAGGGGAAGAACCCAGACTCCCTGGAATCTCCGTGTGGCTTGATCCCGTTCCCTCTGTCTCCTCCCACCACGCTTCCCCACCCCACCCCAGTTTGGAACCTGCTGCCCTGCCTTAGGCCCCTGTCCTGGAGGTGCACTTAGAGATCGTACTCAGGGCTCACAAGGCCTGTTGGTCCTGGTGCCAAAGAAAGAAGGGCAAGTAGTGAATGCCTGCAAGTTCAACTTCACAGCTTATTTCTAGGCGAAATAAACTTTATCTTGATATATGTGTGTGTGTGTGTGTGTGTGTGTGTGTATCACTGAATCACTTTGCTGTACACCTGAAATAAACGTTACCTAGAAACCGTATATCCGGGACTTCCCTGGTGGTGCAGTGGTTAAGAATCTGCCTGCCGATGCAGGGGACACGGTTCGAGCCCTGGTCCGGGAAGAACCCACATGCTGCGGAGCAACTAAGCTTGTGCGCCACAACTACTGAGCCTGCGCTCTAGAGCCTGTGCTCCGCAACAAGAGAAGCCACCACAGAGAGAAGGCCACCCACCGAAACGAAGAGCGGCCCCTGCTTGCCGCAGCTAGAGAAAGCCCACGTGCAGCAACAAAGACGCAGCACAGCCAAAAATAAATTAATTAAATAAATGTATAAAAAAAGAAGCCATATATCCGTACATACATGTGTGTGTGTATATATATATATATATATATATATATATATATATATATATAACTGAATCAC